GGCTGCTCAGCTCCAGGGGCTGAGCTCCAGCCCCAGCGGCTCAGCCTGTGCTCCCCAGCTCCAGGAGCTCAGCCTGTGCTCAGCTCCAGGAGCTCAGCCTGTGCTCCCCAGCTCCAGGGGGCTCAGCCTGTGCCCCCCTGGAGCCCTGGGTGCTGCCCCTGCACAGGCAGACAGCTGGGCACCACCAGCTTAACCCAAATCCACCCCCTGGCTAAGGCTTTGTTCCCAGTGGGCACCACCAGCTTTTCCTAAATTCTTCTCCTGGTTAAAGATTTTCTCTCAGTGGGCACCACCAGCTTCCCCCAAACTCATCCCTGGCCGAGGACCTTCTCCCAGTGAAGCAAACACATTTTCCTTGGAGTTGTGGGTGGCACTAAAGGTTTGCCAAACAGCTGCCAGTGCCCCATGGAAGGTAACACCACTGTAGAGGAATATTTCCCCTTTTCTGAGAAAAAGATGAGTGGTGCCAACTCCCATGGGACACCTCACAGCCACTGCAGCTCCTGCAGCCACACCTGGATCCATCTATAAAATTCCTCTACTGCAAAAGCAACCCCAGGGAAGACACAGGCCAAATTCAAACCTAAAGACACTGCACTTTACTGCCAGCTTATATAAATATTTTATCCTTTTCCTCCTTTCCCTCAGAGCTCCAGTGCCCCAGGAGTCCTGACAGCCCAGGGGTGACAGTGCAAAGCACGTGTCACAGGAGACTTTGGGAAGCTGCATCACCCTTTGCCACATCTGTGGCTCTCCTGCAGCAGGCAGAGGCTGCCAGCCAGGCCAGACCTGGGACTCTGCAGTGAGATAAACCCTCCCTGTCAGGCATCAAGCAGCATCCCAGCAGATGAAGCTGTCAGGGCTGTGTGACCTTTTCATCTGCTAAAAGATGCAGCTGGGAGCCAAGTAGTAGCTCTTTATTTTTTCCATTTAATATTAAAAATTCTGTCTGGGAAGTACAGAAGGCTTTTTTTTTCCACGTCTGCCCAGCGGGTTCTGGGCTCTGTGGTGCCAACAGCAGCCTAACAAGATGAAACAAATAGTTCCATTTATTTGTCTCCCAAAGGATTGGGAAAACAATAGCACAGGGATCTGGAGATAGATATTAAAAACAAAAGACAAATTGTATTACAGCCAAAACCTTGATTAGTTCCAGGCGGGAAAGTGAGAGGGATTTCACTGCACTGCATTTGGAGTGACCTTGGTGTGTATTTTAATATTTATACCCTCATCTAATTAGTATTACTTACTAATATCTAACTCCTCCAGTAGAGGATAGACATGGGCAGCCCATTTCTGCAGGATCAGAACCAGCTCATGTATTCCAAAGCATCTGGGTGCCCATGGATGTGGCCACACAGCCTCAGTGCAGTGCCAATGCACTGCTGTTGATTGGCAAAAATAATAATGGTAACCTCCCAAAAAAATCGAAAATATCAGGAAAATCTGGTGGACCTGAACCCTCCTCCAGGATGTCAAATCTGGAAACCAACCTGTGTTATTTGAACACTGAATAAAACTGTACCAGGGTTAAGTTTTCAACTAACAATTATTTCATCGCAGCGTCTCTTCTGCCTGCTCAGGAGAAAATTAAGCTGGCAGAGTTTCTTTAATGTAATAACCCTGTTGCTCACCCCAGAGGTAATAATTACATCTAGAATGGAAAGAGAAGCTAATTCCCAATTGCTTTTACTCAATAGGTTCCCTGTTATCCGGCATGTCCAGGCTTCACTCCCAACAATGCAAATCCTTAACAACCCGCTCAGGATGCGCAACCCTCCCAAAACTGGATGTGATTTCCCATCTGTGCTGGCCCGTGCAGAGCTGGGGGAGGGTGGCAGGGGTGGCACTGACGTGTTGAGCACGTAGAGCACGGTGTGGATGATGTAGGGGATGAGGTGGATGTTGCTCTCGCGGCCGCCGCCCCCGGTGTCGATGCTGAACGACTGCTCCATGGCGAAGCGCAGGAACAGCAGCTTGATGTCGTGCACGTTCAGCTGGTACGTGGGCTCCCTCTGCCCCGTGCACTCCTGCAGGTACGTGTTGTGCCTGAAAAACACCAGGGGGATTGCAGAGAGCTGCTGTTGCCAGGGCACAGCCCCTCCTGCAGGTTTGTGTTGGGCTGAAAATCAGCAGGGGGATTTCAGAGCTGCTCCTGCCACAGCACAGCCCCTCCTGCAGGTTTGTGTTGGGCTGAAAATCAGCAGGGGGATTTCAGAGCTGCTCCTGCCCCAGCACAGCCCCTCCTGCAGGTTTGTGTTGTGCCTGAAAAACCCAGGGGGCCTTCAGAGAGCTGCTGCTGCCCCGGCACAGCCCCTCCTGCAGGTTTGTGTTGGGCTGAAAATCAGCAGGGGGATTTCAGAGAGCTGCTGCTGCCACAGCACAGCCCCTCCTGCAGGTTTGTGTTGGGCTGAAGAACAGCAGGGGGATTTCAGAGAGCTGCTGCTGCCACAGCACAGCCCAGGAGCACAGCCAGCACGGCACAGAAACTCACACAGGCAGCCCTGCTACCTTGGAGTAACCTCCCCAAAGGGAGGCTTTCAGCTCACTCCAATCCAATTCCAGCTGCAGATATCTGTCCACACATCAATACTGTTTTCCCATGCCCAGGACCTGGGATACAGCTCCTGGCTGAAACGCTTCCAGGATGTTGCCACTGTTGATTCCACAGAATGGTTTCAGTTGGGGACAATAAAGATTATCCAGTCCCAACCCCTTCCATGGCAGGGACACCTTCCACTGTCCCAGGCTGTTCCAAACCCCACTCACCCTGGCCTTGGACACTTCCAGATATGGGGCACCCATAACCTCTCTGAGCATCTTGCCTTCCCTTGTCACAGGGAAGACTTTCTTCCCAATATCTGATCTAAATCTACCCCCTGTCAGGTTTAAAATTTCTAATATGACATTATAAACCCAGCATAAGGTAAAGCAGAATCCTGACATCAGCATCTCTATCTGCTCCAGACAGGTGCCCAATTACCTCAGTACCATCCAAGAGAAGTCTGGAAATCTACACCAGGGAATCCACTGTGTCACAAGGTTTCTTTGGTACAGTAGGGGCTCACTGGCCACAAATGAATCAACACTGCATCTTCAGCTGTGACTGGGGGCTAAGGAGGCTCTGACATTATTTACATGAAGACAAGGAGCAAACAGACACGTGCACTTTTTTAGGAGATGGTAGAACCTGAAATGGCTCCATTTTACCAAGATTCAGCTGCACCACCTCTGATCCCAGGATTTCAGGGGAGTGTGTGGCAAGGATCTGACTCAGCCAGATGCAACCAGCTGGGGAAGAACCTGTCTGTACTCACCGTGCCAAGCACGTGGCAAAAGCAGACTCTGGCACGTGGGGCCCCCACACTGGCAGGAGCCCATTGCACTTGGTGTTGGCATTCTGCAGGGCTGCACTCTCCCACTCCTCGCGGCCCCGAGCGAGCCTGCACAAAGAGACAGAGCACACCAGGCAAGTCAGCAGGATGCAAGCTTTTGTCTAAGGAGACATCCCCAAAATGACAACTCCACAGCTTCTCTCAATGCTGGACCTGGCAGAGTCCAGGGCTGAGCAGTGTTAAAGCAGGCATGGAGATGGAGAAGCCCTGCAAAGCGATCAACAACCCAACCCAGCCCACCCAGAGTCCCACAGCGATCCCAAAGCACCTGGAAAGGCCTCCAGCCCTGGAGAGGGGCTGTGTGGCTGTGGGCACATACCTGACAGCTGCCAGGTGGCAGTCATAGTGCACAATGTTGAAGTGGGACACGGTGCTGTAGCCCTGCTGCTTGCGGGGCTTGTTCTCAAACTCCTCGAGCGCCACGCGCTTGGTGAAGGTGTAAATCCCCAGCACCTTGGTGGGCTGCAAGACACACAGCTGCCTTAGCAAGCTCTGCTACTCATCTCCTGCTCTTTCCACCCCACAGCTGCCTCAGCAAGCTCTGCTACTCATCTCCTGCTCTTTCCACCCCACAGCTCCATTAGCAAGCTCTGCAACTCATCTCCTGCTCTTTCCACCCCACAGCTCCCTTAGCATGCTCTGCAACTCTCCTGCTCTTTCCACACCACACTGAATTGAACCTCTTCCACTCCCAACCTTGTCGTATTCACACTTTCTTTGAACAGAGACATAATTTTCTCTCCCAAGATTTTTGCTGGAGAAAGCTCAGAGAAAGAAGAAAACAAGTCTTATCTTCACTTGCTGCATCTGTTGTTTGGCACATGTGGGAATGTGTTATGCAGACTGTTTGCTGAAAAGGGATTTGTTAATTGGACACTGGTGATGGTTGTTTTGACTGATTGACCAATTAGGTCAAAGCTGTGTCGTGACTGTTGGAAAGGGTCACAGGTTTTTCCTTAGCATAGTATAGTATGTAGTATAATATTATATAGCTTAATAAAGCATTTGTTCAACTGAATCACAGAGTCAGAGCATGCTAGTCCCCATTTTGGGGTTCCTTGCATTGATACCAACCTCAAACTTAAACTGGCCCTGTGTTTTTTCAGCTTTCACTGAAAACACACTTCCCTTCCCCAGCCACCTCTGCAATTACTGATCTGAAGAACCAGCCCTGAGACTTCCTGATCCTCCAGTGCCAGCACTTGTGCAACCAGAGAGTGGCAAGTCCCCTTAGGAGCTGAGAGGGCTCTGAAAATGTGTCTCCCCTCACCTGGAACTTCAATCTCCCATCACCATTACCTGGAACTCTTAGCTCCCAGTACCTGGAACTTTTAGCTCCCACTATGCAGAACTTTCAGCTCCCATTACCTGAAACTCTTAGTTCCCATGACCTGGAAGTTTTAGCTCCCACTACCTGGAACTTTTAGCTCCCACTATGCAGAACTTTTAGCTCCCAGTACCTGGAACTTGTATCCCTCCCGGCAGATGCAGCAGGTCAGTCCTGGCTCCTCTATCAGCTCCTCCATCTGTTTAAGCAGCGCAGTCTTGGTCACCACCTGGCCCTTCTCATTTGTCTGGAAGACAGAAAAGCTCAAGCAGGTTAAAAACAATGACAAACCACACCATGCCCACCACTGGCACTGGAATGCCCATCCCATCTCCTCTGTTCCCTCCTGGCAGCACCAGGCAAACGGGGAGGCTGGAGCTGTGCAATATCCATCAATAAATCACACATTTCCTGCTGAGGCAGCCTGAGCAGGGCAGGAAGGAAAGCCCCTGGAGGAAAGGAGCAGAGCCCCCAGCCATTACCGTCATGCCCAGGGTGCCCAGGGCCTTCTGCCTCATGGCCATGGCCATCCTCTTCTTCTCGGCGCGCGTCTCCTTCCGCGCGGCGTCGATCTTCTTGTTCACCTCGGGGTGCTCCCTCAGAGCCTCCAGGAGGTTCTCTGCCAACGTCCCAATGCCTTCATCACTCGACACCTGCTCCAGTTTGTGCAGGTTGGAGATGGAGTCTGTTCCTATTAGCACCTGGGGGGTGGGAGCACAGCACTGCTCAGGAGGAGGGGACTCGGGACAGTGACTGTCCCCCCTAATCCTGCAGGGACAGCTGGGCACAGCACTGAGCTGCAACCACTGTTCCTTCCTTTTTTAATGCTCCTGGGCCCTAAAAGCTGTGTGTCAGTCTGGGGCAATTTGCCTCTGCACTGGTCATTACCAGCTCAGATGGGGATGTTGGATAAAATGTTTATTTTGTGTAAGACACTGTATTGATGCCTTCAAACACCAACAATCACATCCTGGGGAGCTTATCAATAATTACCTTCTCTTCACACTGGTGTGTCAATCTCACACCACACAGCAGGAGGAAATATTCAAATCAGAATCTCTGACTTTTCCAGATGATGCCTGAAGCTGCCCAGCAGAGGCTCAAGGCACCAAGACAAAGACACAGAGTCATGTTCCCAATCTTGTCATGTGACACAAAAACCCCACAGGATGCTCTACAAAGGCAGAACTTGCCCAGGGAATACTTGAACAGCTTCCACACCTATGCCTACTTTGAGATTCCAAACAGAATTAACAATTCTTATAAGAATTTCACATTCTTATAAGAGGTAAGCCCAGGAGAACTGGATCTTCTCTCTGCTTTATCCCCCAAACAGAATTCCCTTCAGACCAGGACCAAAACCTTCCGGCGGAAAAAAGTTGTGAGCAAAACTGTTCCAACTGTGATGAGGATGGCAAAACAAAACCCATCAAAAATGAGTGTAGAGCCAACTCTTAGAGGAGTTTGTGCTGAGCTGCAGCCCCAGAGCAGAGTGCCAGGGCCCTGGGCTCACCTGTGTTGCAGGGTGCTGCGTCGCGAGGCCTCGGAGCAGGCGCAGGATAAAAGGAAGTGCAGGTCGAGATAAGAACCTCTTCCATATGTCTGCATCCAAACTGCATGGAACACAACAGGCAGCAGCTGGGGGAGTGTCCCAGCCAGCAGCATGGCTCCCTCCCCCATGTCCCTGCTCAGCTCACTAATGAAGGGACAGTCACACTCCCACTCCCACGCTGTGCACGGCCACGGTGCCAGCTCTGAGCCTGGGGATTTGTGTTCATGAGCTGGCTACCAACAGCACAAACTCTGTTGCTGTGCAACAGGAGGGGACAGGCAGGAAACACAAGGATTGAGATATCCAAGAAATCAGCTTGGATGGGTATCAAATGGGAAGATTTCAGGGTTTTTAGGTCATCCCTATACGTGCACTGCCTCACCAGAACTCTGCATCACAGCTCTGAATGCTCCCTTGTTCATGGGTTTCTTGGGAGATTGTGGTGATGGGATGAGGAGGATGTCCAGGGCAGTCACACACATTAACCACACACATTAAATAGTGACTCTTACTTCTTTGCACTTGGAATGTGCTTTTTCATGTAATCCAGGGCATTCTGTGTAATCCCCTTCTGCAGGATGAGATCTTTCAGCTGATGGCCGTTGCTGTTGTTCTTTATTCCTGCTGCTATTTTACAGAAGCAGTCCAGGAAGACTTTATCATCTCCACTGTGCTCCTCATCATACCTGAACAAAGAGAAGAGATGGTAACTCTGCCTGCAATTCTCACTGAATGGGGTACCTGCCCCAGCTCAAAAAGCTATTCAGGCCCCTGTCACCTCAAAATAATCTCTAAAGACCCATTTCTCAAGCTAGAGCTCACACATTTCTTTCAAAAATAGCTCAGAAATGAAAGAGGAAATGAAGCTGAAGCCTGGCTGTGTGAATTTTAGTTGACTAGAGATTGGAAGAGTAAAAAGCTGTAGGTTATTTTGAGTTTTGCACTTGCTAGATAGCATGTCCTGAAACCTATCTGTAGTATGATAGCAAATAGTGAAGGAGACATGAGAAAAGAGAGATGTAACCCCTAAAGAACAGAGAAGAGCTAATGTTGTAGTGTAACCAATAAACAGTGTAAATTACAGAATATTCATGAGTTTATTACTTGCTGTATAAGTGTCTAATGCTCTCTTCAATAAACAGAACTTGCTAATAACTCATATTAAGCCCCGAGTTTTCCCTGCACCCGACACCTGGCATTAGACTGGAGAAGCACCAACGAGGAGATGAAGGCAGAGATGTGTCACTAAAACCATTACAGGTGCTTTTAGCTGAGCTGTGCCAACATACTTATCAAAGTTGCAGTAGGGCTTGAAGCGATCCACCAGGATCTGCATCTTCTCCATCTCGCCGAAGCTCAGGTAGGGGATGATGCGCAGCAGCCCCTGCAGCACGCTCAGGTTGGAGCGCACAAAGGTGCTGTTGATCTGGTCCAGCAGCATCACCAGCTGGTCCTTGTCCCCTGTCAGGAGGAGGTTGCCCTGTGAAGCAAAAGCAGCAGGATTTATAGTCAATAAATCTACAAGGAAATTCTCACTCTGGGAGCTGGTGGGCCGCTCCTGTTGTGAAGGGGTGGTCACTGATAAAAATAAAATTTAGTCTCGTTCCCAGAGGTCTCGTGGAATGGCTGCACCAACTCCTGGCTTATTCCACGTGCTGTTAAAGCATTTTCCAGCCAAAAGTCTAATAATTCCAACCCGAAGCACACCAGATTCCTGTTCACCCACAGCTTCAAAAGATGAGTGAGAAGCTCTTCTTGTTCTCTAGATGAGAAACAGTTTTATTCTCAATTAGCTGGAAAATCAATCATGTTTTCAACACATACAAAAACACTCCAAAAAACAAGGCCAAGCTGTGTCTTTTCTTGTCTCTCACTGGCCCGTGGCCCAAAACAGGCAGGAAAGGATCCAAGCAGTGCCTAACAACCCTCACCCAACCATGCAAGACTCATCCTGACGCAGCCTCGCTGTGCTTTTGGTTCAGGGCCCTCCTCGAGCCCTTCCCCAGGGCCTGCCAAGACCTGCCAGAAGTGGAACGAGGGTCAGACTCCAGCAGCACTCCCCTCCAGCTCCTCAGCTCAGCATCCCTGTGAGCAGGGCTGTGCAAGGCCTGAATCCAGGGAGAGGAGCCACTCACCTTGTCCTCGCTCAGGGGCTCCGCGTTGGATTCATCCAGAATGATCTCCATGATGCTGAGCACCTGCTCTGCCACTGCTGCTCCCCCGCTGTCCTTGCTCTCCTGCTCAGCCACCAGAGCCTGCAAGACATGGCAGTGCTCAGGGGAACANCCAAGCCAGGCTGGGACTGTGCAGCTCCACAACCCTGAGTGCAAAGGTTACTCAGAGGGGCTATAACCTGGTGTAAACTACACACACTCCATCGGCTGTGAGTGGGGCTGTGACATGAACAGGTGGGACAGTGACACCAGTGAATGTGACAGTGACACGAGTGGCTCTGTGCAAGTAACACAAGTGGCTCTGTGACAATGGCAGGAGTGGGTGTGACAGGGACCCCAGTGGCTCTGTGATGGTGACACGAGTGGCTCTGTGACAATGACACAAGTGGCTCTGTGACAATGGCAGGAGTGACAGTGATAGGAGGGGGTGTGACAGTGACAGAAGTGGGTGTGACAGTGACCCCAGTGGCTCTGTGATGGTGACACGAGTGGCTCTGTGGCAGTGACCCCAGTGGCTCTGTAACAGTGACATGAGTGGGTGCGACTTGACACAAGTGGGTGTGACAATGACACGAGTGGCTCTGTGACAGTGACCCCAGTGGCTCTCTGACGGTGACATGAGTGGGTGTGCCAGTGACATGAGTGGCTCTGTGCCTGTGCCCCGTGGGGCTCTGTGACGGTGACATGGGCAGGTGTAACAATAACACGAGTGGCTCTGTGGCAGTGCCAGTGACCCCAGTGGCTCTGTGACAGTGACCCCAGTGGTTCTATGCCAGTGACACGAGTGGCTCTGTGACAGTGCCAGTGGCCTGTGGGGCTCTGTAACAGTGACACGAGTGGCTCTGTGCCAGTGCCAGTGACATGAGTGGCTCTGAGTGACACAAGCTGTGTGCCTGTGCCCCATGGGGCTCTGTGACAGTGACACGAGTGGCTCTGTGACAATGATCCCAGTGTCTCTGTGACAGTGACACGAGTGGCTCTGTGCCTGTTCCAGTGCCCATGGTGCTCTGTGACAGTGACCCCAGTGTCTCTGTGACAATGACCCCAGTGGCTCTGTGACAGTGACCCCAGTGGCTCTGTGCCTGTTCCAGTGCCCATAGGGCTCTGTGACAGTGACCCCAGTGGCTCTGTGACAGTGACCCCAGTGGCTCTGTGCCTGTTCCAGTGCCCATGCTGCTCTGTGACAGTGAGCCCAGTGGCTCTGTGCCTGTTCCAGTGCCCATGGTGCTCTGTNCCAGCTGGTTTAACTGCCCCACACTCCCACCATAACAGATAAGGAATGTCCAAAGGATAATTTGCAGTGCCAGCACAGCAATGTTTCCCATCTCCTGTAGCTGTCACAAGGCAGCAGGGCAGGCAGAAGTAGCTTAAACTCACTGGAATCCATGGAAAAACCACTTGTGGAAGTCAAGGCTGTCCTTACCAAGTTGAGAGTCCCCAGCATGACATTCAAAGTGTTCATCTCTGGCTTGACCAGCTGCTGCCGGTTGATTTTCACCTTCACACAGTAACTGAAGAGTTTTAACAGCACCTGCAAAATACACAAAGGGATTCTCTGTGGGACTTCACAACGAGGGGAGATTTTGCTGAAACTGAAGTAATAGTTTAATATAATAATAGACCTGATATGCAGACTGCTGGGATACAGTACCCCCAGATTTTCACATAAATATATATGTGTATATATATCTCTTAGCACAACTTTGGCTTTCAGATATGACCAAGGCAGAAAACAATTCCTCCAGCAAGACAGGATTTAGTCTTACCAACTCCTCAGGCTCTAGACATTTCAAGTTTTGTAAGGAATTGTTACCCAAAAAGAACAGGAGAGGAAAAGAGCTGTTCCAGCTCAAGGGAGATTGTCTGAACCTCAGGGATGTCTGTGGAATTTTCCTCCCCATAACTCCTGACCCCAGTGCCAAAGGGACACTCACAGTTAAGAGGTGCCGGCCCTGTTTGAAGTCCTTGATGCCAGTCAGTCTGTTGAGCATGCACTCCAGGCCTCCACATGGGGCCATCACCCCTGCCATCTTATACACCTCTTCCTCATCCTCCTCCTCATCTGCAGGACAGACACAGTGGTGAGGACAGGAGCAGCCACAGCGGGACACACAGAAATGCAGAGCAGAGCAGCACACATTTCCCAGCAATTCCAGGCACTTCACTTGTATTGAATTCAAAAAGAATTAAGAGCAGAGATATGAAGAAGGGCTGGGCAGAACGGTCCCCGTGCCAAGCAAGTGCTCACATCTGAAGCACAGCTTTAAAGCACTGGTAAAATCCTCCTTCACTCGAGGTGAAGCAGGTAAAAGCAGCAAAAGCAACGTCAATCAACTTTAAGCTCACTGCTGTGAGGATAATAATGTCATTGCTCTGCAGCAAACCTCAGATTTCAAATCTAATCCCAGCTTTCAGCAGACAAATGCATTACCAGTGGTGGAGTCGAGGGACTCGATGAATTCCTCCGTGGCATCTCCCAGCAAGCCCCGCATGCGGTAAATGATCCTCATGGGCTCCCCCTGCAAGAGCACAGCTTTTTATTCATTCTGTCTCTGGCCACTTGGACACAAGCCTGGCTCTGGTTCCAGTGTGTGCAGACACTCCAGCCCCAGCTCTCCCTCGTGCTGTTCCACCTGCTGATGGTAGCACGGGGAAATCTTTCACTCCCTCATTTTCCTGTTCCTGAGATGAATTAAAAACAACAGAGCCACCTGCAAAAACATCAGTAACTCATCCCTTGGTCTGCCCAGCTTTTCTTGGCACTGCCAGTTAATTGACAGACTGGTGATAAACAGTCTCTTCCATCTCCTCCAGCTTTCCTTCAGCACCAGTGAAAGATGCAGCCATGGAAAATGGGTTCACCTGCTTTCCATGGCAACCTCTCCTCTGGGGTATGGCACAGCATACCTGGGAAATCCAGGGAACAGGCACAGCCCAGGAAATGAAGCAGGACAGGCTAATTGGATGAAAGCTTTCAAAGAGATAAAATCTGCAGTGATGGCAAATGGAAGAGGAGTAAAAGGCAATTTAATGAGCTTTCAGTAAGACAGTACATCACTGATACAGCCAAGAAGCTGTGCTGTTACCCTGAGAAAGAGACACTTTTCCAGATGCATTTCCAGCTGGAAATACTGACAGCATATCATGAAACTTTCCATTTTTAATCCATAGGTCTGAATAAAAAGCAGAAAAGAAAAATCCCAGATTTGGGAGCAGGAGACCTTGCAAGAGAAAACCTGTCAGGGATCGTGCTAAGCCTAATGTGGAATAAGCAGTGCTTAATGTCACAGCAAATACATAAGCACAGGGAAAGCCCCGGGGGGAAGATCTGCTCAAAGGCCACGCTGGCGACCAGCAATTAACACCACAGGGGCCCTGGTAAAACGGCAGATGAACAAAAAAAGCCACTGAGAGACAAGGGAAACAAAAAGGGGCCTGAGGTTGCGTTTCTTGTGAGCCTGTCGCTCCCAGGGAACGGGAGCTGCGGCTCCAGGAGGTGCTCACAAAGGAAGACAGATGAAAGCTGTTCATCCCCAGGAATGCTGAGCAAACTCTGCCTTTCAGCAGCTGAGCTGCCTCCCTCCGGGAGAGCTGCACGGCATCCCACGGGAACAGCTCCTCCAGGGGCAGCATGGGGAGCATCCCACCAGCACTCGGTCAGGATTCAAATCAGAGCTCACAGATTAACACCAGCACCTCATCCCCCTTTCCAAGTTAAAAAAATTATCACTGTCACAAGGTTTGGGCTTGATTTTGCAGGCTTTGTTCCTGAAATAAAGCTTAATGAGACCCATTTTATCATCATTCACTGCTAACTGGCACTTTGTTTGAGTAGTTCCCACAAATGGCTTCAGAAATGGAGGTTTCAAAGGTGATCTGAGGCCAGGAGGAAATGAGGAATGACCAAGAAATGCTGGACAAATCAGTCTCGTTTTATGATCTCAAGTGCCTCTAAAAATATATTTGCAGTGGGCAGGCTTGAGCCTGATGGTCTCGGTGGGAGTTATTGGAATGGTCACAAGGAAAGAAGGGAAGAGCTTGATCTGGACACATCCACCTCTGGAACAAGCTCAGGATGACATGGTGGACTGGACCCATTCTGCTGGGTCCATTCATGTGAAAAACACACAACACATACAATGAAAAACAAAAAAAGGATGAATCTGCCAAGTGCTTGAGATCCTGATGGAAAACATGAGAGCAGAAGTGCAAATATGGAGAAGCACTGGATGCTCTGTGCATAAATAACTTGGGCTCACCCCCAAAGCACAGACTGAGGGAGCAGTCTGGTGTCCTTGTGCACACACACAAAACTTTTGTGTGCAGATGGAGTGTGAAATGTGCTCTGAAAGGCACTGAAAGGCTCAGCTCTCCCCAGGGGAGCACAGGGAGAGCTGCTCCTCACCAAGAGTCACGAGTGACACAGGACACAGCTCACCTGGGGCAGTGCTCTGCAATCACTCACGTTGCAGGGCCATGCACAATCTGTCCTAACAGAGCACCAAAAGTTGCTGAGCAGTTACACCCAATAAATTATATGCCAGGAAATAAATCCTGACGCGCGTGGTTTTGATTTTTCCCCATTTTTTTTGTTGATGTGAAGGACAGCTGCTCTGGGCTGTTAACTTGAACAAAGGTAACACACACCTCGTTTGTGGGACACCACACCTTCTTGTAGACCTCAGCCACAGGCAGATCCAGACTGATGATCTTGTTGTTCACCAACAGCTGAAAGGGAGAGAAGAACAAGTCAAGAACAAGCTCAGGTTGTTACATCACCACCCCAGCAACCACCAGCTGCCCAAAACCAGCATCCCACAGGTCTGTGCAAGCAATCCCCACCTCCAGAAATTCTCACCTCCATGCCACTGTCATCCTCCAGCAGAGCCACCAGGTCACAGTCCTGGCAGATCTTGTTCTTGATGTCCCTCATGAGGGGCCCGATGCCAGGCTCGTTACTGCTGTAGGGATTCCCTGGCATCCTGCCCTGCAGGAAATCTTCCTGCTGGGGATCTTTCTCCAGGGTGACAAAGAACTCAGTGACTTCATTCTCCTCCTAAAGAGCAGCAGCAGACACACAGTGAGTCAGTTTTTCCCTAGCCATGCTCCCATTGCTGCATTTTAATGGGAGAATGTTCTTAAACCTTCAGTCCTTTCCCCACCGGTGCATCTGCTCTGCATGCCACACTGAGGATGGCCAGGATCACTGAGCAACCAAATTCCTCAGGGAACCTGAACCCCCCAAAGGGAATCACTGGGGCACAGCTCTCCACTGGCTAATGGTGAATCATGACTGCAGACACAGCTGCTCCTGGGAAAAGGAACCAGATCTAGGGGTGCTAGAGGTGCTTGGTGCTGATTCTCCTCCTCTATCATGGGACCCCACCTGGAGCACTGCACACAGCTCTGGTGTTCTCAACATGAGAACTCAGGGAATTGTTGGAGCAAGGGCAGAGCAGGCCATGGAGGGGACTGGAGCACCTCCCCTATGGACAGGCTGGGACATTGGGAATGCTCAGCCTGGAGAGGAGAAGGTTGTGAGGAGACACCACAACACCTTCTATGGTGTAAAACTGACTGCAGGAAAGCCAGAGAGGGACTTTTCATCAGGAGCTGGAGTGACAGGACAAGGGGGAATGGGTTCAAACTGAAAAAGGAGAAATTTAGGTCAGATATTGGGAAGAGTGGGCAGGCCCTGGCACAGGGTGCCCAGAGAAGCTGTGGCTGCCCCTGGACCCCTGCAATGCCCACGGCTGGGCTGGGAGCACCCTGGGATCATGGAAGGTGTCCCTGCCATGGACAATCCTTAAGTCCCTTCCCAAAGCATTTCAGGGCTGTGCTCAGGCAGTGTGGGCTGTGTGCCCCTGCCCCACTCACAGGGTAGATGATGCTGCAGAGCCTCTCAAAGATGAACACTGGGGTCCTGTAGTCGTCGAGGCTGTAGCGCTTGGCAGTCTCTATGCACACTGCCATGAACGCCTTGGTCTCTGACTCTGTGCCTGCCAACAAAAGGAAGCTTTAGAATGGACACTGCAGTCAATTTTATAGACTCCCCTTTAACTCAGCACATGCAGTAAACCCTTCTGCAGCCAGCCCCACAATTTGGTGCTCTCTCCTTTTGTGAATCCACTCTGTGAAAGATGGAAGGTATTTCTTTGGTAGGGTTACTCTGCATGGCTGGGCTGCACTAAAAAAACAGCCCCATAAAAATGAGGAGGCTGAGATTCCTGGAAGATAAGAGGTGACCAGGAATGCTGTTCAACTGCTCTGTGCCAACAGAAAATACTGGAAGCCATAAACCCCCCTGATCACAGCAGTCATTTAGACAAGTTCTTTGTGTGGCTGCTCTGCTTTTCCACCTTGGTTTATCCTAAAGCTGGATTTATGGAACAGAGGTGGTTTTACCTGTTGTCATGTCCTCCAGCATCTCCAGCAGCATGTCCTGGGTCTCATCAATCAGCTTTGTCCTCTGCACCACCAGCTTCCTCAGGCACAGGTACCCGTTGAGCACCGTGCCCACCAGGCGGCTCTTGAAGTGCCTCTTGATGGACTCCACCTCCACAAAGGAAGAGAGGAGACCTGGAAAGACACAGAAATTCAGGCAGTGTGCAAACCCAGGGCACTGGGAATATTTCTGTGTCTGTTCTGGGGTGCCCTGACCCCCAGGGCAGCACTGACTCTGACCCTCATTCATGGAGAAAGTTTTCCAGACTTCAAGATAGACTGGAATCCACAAAAGTGGGAAATAGATTATAGAGAGCAGTGTAGGTGCATCACTGGGTGAGAAATTGAGGGTTTGGGATTTTTAGTGTGTTGTGAATGGAAGCAAGATGGAGGGCACAGGGTGTTGTCCTGGGTTTATTCTTCATGATTCTTCTTCCTTCTTCTCCATGGGTTTGGGTGGCATTTTGTAATTGGGCAGAAAAGTCCCCATTGCAGCTCTTTGGGATCAGTTATTGGGTTAAAAGGGAAAATAATCCAGGTGTCAGTTCTTAATTGGATAGTTCAGTCTTAAAAGCCCTTGTACCAAGAGATTGCTGGCCATTTTGTGCCTTCTAATGAAGAGCTGCTGAACTCACAGGAATGAGACTGTTTGACTGATAAGAAACAATAAACACCTGAGTCCAAACATGAATTACTGTCTCCAGTGCTTTCAATCCAGACCTGGGGAAACCCACAACTGGTACCCTGAAACTGGGACCCCCACAAGGCAGGTGGGAGAGAATCTGATTTCTAAATTTCAAAGCAGCAAACAGGGCACAGTATCACAAAAATGGCTTGTTCCAGCTCCCATCACTCTGGGGTTTAATGCTCATTCCTGTGAACTGGGTGGTTGCAGGCAAAAGCCTTGGCTTGGCTTGCAAATTGTAACACATGAAAACCAGTTTGGGAATGAGGAAAGAGCCCAAGGAGTTTCCTGTGTGCTTGATGCAAAATTCTGCACTCTCTGGCATTTTCCTGTCACAAGCTATTCCAAAAGCAGATGACTGCTCCTCTTGTCATACTTCTAATACCTCTGGTGATGTGAAATGAGCTATCAGTGACATCAGCAAACTGGTCACTCCTACAATAAAGCAAAGAATCAGCAAACACAAGGATTCTTTCCTATGACACACTGATCAACATGCTGCTTCTTGCAAGAAGCCAGGCTTTATGGATTCACCCACTAATGGCTGAAGAATGTGAAAGAGGATACAAAAAACAATGATCTAGTTCACGAGGTATTTCCATTTCCAACACATTTTTGTAAAAGGGTGTACACCCTAGAAGATAAAAGCAAAGCTCCCATAGAACTGGGAGGCAAGAATAACAGGTAGGAATAAAGCAGCAGTGTTTACAGTGGTGCCAGGGATTATGTAATAAAGTGAAATGATGAAGCTTGCCTGGTGTGTTACCACAGTGCAGCTAAAAACTCTTACTGACCACAAAAAAATTATGGAAAAATCCATTTAGAGATTAAGTGCTAAATCGATGGCAAAAATCCAGTGCTGACAATGGCAACACAGCTGAATGAGATCTCTCTGAAATTCTGCCACAGCTGTTAGAGAACAATGATCCCCAGCTCTAACCCTGCTGCAGGCCCACTGAATACCTGTGAGGCTCTTCAGGGCATATCCCTGCTGCAAATCCGTGCTCAGAGTGGCTTCCTCCAAGGCCAGCAAACGAGCTATTTCCTGCAAATAATTAAAATCATTAACAGCCTGTTAGGCCAAGATGGCCCTGCAATGCCAATAACCTTTGGGGTGTCTAACAAAGAGTGCAAAGAACTCAGAAAATGAAAGCACAACTGCAACAGCAGGGAGGAAAAGGGAAAAAGAGAGGAAAGCTGCCACAAATATCCCTTCATTTTCTCCCTGCTGGCACTGCTTGGCTCTGGTGGCCCTCCAGGAGCACTCAGAGCCACCACTGACATGGAGAGAGCCACCTGCCCCTCTGGAGTGCAGGGACCCCCACAGAAACTCCCACCACTCTGAACACTGTAAACCCAGAGTGCTGCTCCTCCAAAGGCTGTAATTCCATTTCTCCAGCAATGGCAGCACACCTGATCCCTCCCTGTCCCCAGGGGCCCTCAGAGCCCAGCCTGGGAGCTGCACAACAGTGCCAAGGCAGTGCAGCAATATTGACAATCCCAGAGCAGTTAATTAAAGTGTTAAAGAATTGAAGAATTCTCCAGCTGGGGCTAAAACCCCCGTGGCTCCCTCTGTTCAGAGGTGCCAGCACTGAAGTGTGAACTTGAGAACCTTGGCAGGGTCAGCAACAGGGCACAGAACAAAGGGATGGAATTTCAAAAGCAAAAAAAAGCCAAGCTAACAGGTCATTTCCTGCTCACAAACCCATACCTTGGTGATGAGGCTGCCAATGTAGGGCAGAACCCCTCTGGCTGCCAGGTAGACCTTCCAGTGGGCAGGTTTGATGAGCTTCTGGTACAGGGCCAGGTACTCAGCAGCACATTCACCAGCAATGCTCAGCTCATCCAGGTAGCTGGGAGAGAGAAACACAGGCTGACAACCCAAAGAGAAACACAGCTGACATTCCAGCCTAAGGACAGTGTGGAAAGGAAGAAAAAGCCTCCAGAAATCAATCCATCCATGCATCCATCCATGGATTCCATCCATCCATCCATCCATCCATCCATCCATCCATCCGTCCGTCCGTCCATCCATCCATCCATCCATCCATGGATTCCATCCATCCATC